GTTATTCTTCCCTTAGAATACCTCCACTGTTGACGGAAGAAGGGAGGGGGGTTTATCTCAATGTCTCTTAGCCAGTTCGAATAGAGACACTGTCATTTTTGAGGAGCCTATAGACTGTATCCAGAACTGTTAAATTGCAATTCGGTATCACTTCGTATCAATTCGGACTGACTGCGTATGTTTCAAATGAAAGAAACGTTGTAACTGATCTATAATACGATTTATATTATGAGGACATCTTCCTTATCTTTCTTACACCTCTCGATATTTCTTACTTAACATAATATATTGCAGCCTCTTTTTGTGCGAAAGATTAAACTAATCTGATTGCTTTTCATGATTTTATTAATCCAACAACATGTTAGATCTTTTCACGTTATAATGCTATTATAAGGATGATACATTGCTCACATATCCATGATAGCTATTTCATATTAATATATGTCTTCTTCCTCAATGGGTTATGCCACTTTCTTCAGGAACTTCCTTTACTTCACCATGTACTTCATCTATCATCTGTTCCCTCAAATCTTTCGTTTGATGGACTAAATAGGACAAAGGTAACCTGGATTTTTATCTGACATTCTCATTGATGAGTCTAGCTATTTCATATTAATATATGTCTTCTTCCTCAATGGGTTATGCCACTTTCTTCAGGAACTTCCTTTACTTCACCATGTACTTCATCTATCATCTGTTCCCTCAAATCTTTCGTTTGATGGACTAAATAGGACAAAGGTAACCTGGATTTTTATCTGACATTCTCATTGATGAGTCTAACGAATGAGTGAGGATGATTTCTATGATCTTCCTCTAACTCTTCCTCATTAAACTGTCTCGGCTATACTATTTGAACTTTCCGACAGTAATGACTCTGATCATGTTTGGTTTCTGTTTTTTCTGTGCAGCAATGCCTCCCAAGAAAAGAAAGACTCATTATGAGACTTTAACACATAGAAGAGCCAGAATTGAATTTATGGAACATCCATTGCATCGTTCAGCAGTTCCTGAGACATCGTTTGGGGGCGTAAATCCTTTGTCTGAGAATGATATACAGGAACCATCACGGTCTCTTCATCGAGTCCTACCATCTTCATCAGGTGATGAATGCACTACCACCATACCATTGTTATTTGAATTATAAGATTCTCATGAAGACATCAAGCATTATCGATCTTCGATTATAGAAACACCTTATTGTAATGTTCTCTTTTGTTTGTATTGCCCTTATCAGAATCTTCAAGGGCAAGGAAATCGCGCTACCAGACTTTAAAACAATTGGCCTCCAAGAATTCAACGAGCCATATTTCTTCTCTAGAGCAAGGGGAACCCAATGTGGTAGCTGAATGTAACGAAAATAATAATCAGGCGAAGCAAGCTGAATAGCAGAAAACTGATAGTTGCCGGTTGCAGAGCTCATCTGGAACCTCATCCTGTTTTAGGTCCATTCCCACGGCTAGAAAGCCTTCCCATGATGATATTCTGAACATAGGTCAACCAAAATGTGTTTGCAAGTTCTGTGGTGCTTTGTTTTGGGATTTAGAGAGGCTTGATCGCCGCCGAGCAACAACTGATCCTATCTATGGACTCTGCTGTCAGAAAGGCCGTGTTGGTTTGCCGTATATAGCCCAACCTCCGCGTTTGTTGGCTGAGCTTCTGCAGTTTGATGGTGGCGTCGTGTCTAAGCATTTCAAAGATAACATCAGACCATATAACGGTTCATTGTGTTTTACATCATTTGGTGCTTCTATTGATCCTCGCTCTCTTTCTGGTAGGGGGCCGTACTCGATGGTTATATGTGGAGAAAACTATCATAGGATCGGTTCATTGCTGCCTCCCGATGGTGAAAAACCAAAGTTTGCCCAGCTTTATATTTTTGAACCAGAGAATGAAATCGACAATCGCTTGGCGAACTTCGCATCACGTGATGGTCTACTTATGCCAGAGCTGCTCACTTCATTGCTCCAAATGCTGGATCAACATAATCAACTCGTCAAAACCTTTAGGCGAGTTCGGCAGCAACTTCAGGATTCTTCGACAACGAATTTGAAGCTACGAATATTTGGAGCGAAAAGCAGGAATCGGCAATATGATTTGCCTAGCAGCGCTGAGGTTGCAGCGCTTATACTAGGTGATTTCATACCAGACAGAGATGATCGCGATATAATAGTTGATCATGTCTATGAGGGTTTGAAGAGGATCACGAGTCTCAATCCAAAATTTGATGCGTTACATTTCCCTCTTTTATTTCCATATGGAGAGGATGGTTATCATCCACTAATCAAATACAGGTAAGCTTTCTGCCCGCCTTCTATGCGGAGGCAGTTTGTTACTCAGCGTGAGTACTATGCATTCAGGCTTCAGTATCGCAATGGCGAAGGACACACAATTGTTCAGTCTGGGAAAGCTCTTCAGCATTTTTGTATCGACGCTTACTCATCGATAGAACTAAACAGGCTGGCTTTTCTGCGCTGTCATCAGCCACAGCTTAGAGCGGAGGTTTATCAAGGATTACAGGATGCGATGGCACGGAGTGATCTTGACGGAGATAAAATGGTCCATATTGTACTCCCGGGCACCTACATAGGCAGCCCGCGATATATGCAACAACTGTATCATGATGCTATGGCAGTGGTCGAATTCTTTGGAAACCCTGATTTATTCATCACATTCACCTATAATTCATTGTGGGAAGAAATCACCGAAGCCTTTCGTGATGTTGTTGGTCCAAACAGCTCAGATAAACCAATGGTGGTTTCAAGGGTCTTCCACGCTAAGCTAAGCATTCTCATAGATGACATTAAGAAAAACTCCTACTTTGGGAAAACAATTGCAAGTAAGTATAGGTTGCTCATTTAATATCAATATACAAGTTTAGCCCGTTCAATGCTTTCCAAAATACACATTTGTATATTCGCAATTTTAACTTTCTTAATTTTGCCACAGTCATGTATATAGTGGAGTTTCAGAAAAAGGGTTTGCCCCATATACATCTGTTGGTTTGGTTGTCTGAAGAGAATAAACTGAGGACATCAGCCGACATTGACGAGGTAATCTCAGCCGAAATTCCAGACCCTCAACAAGATCCAGTTGGATATGAAGCTGTCTGTAAATTCATGTTGCACGGGCCATGCGGTGAAGCAAATACAAATGCACAATATATGCGAGATAAGAAAAAACGCGCCAAGGGCAAATGTTCCAAACAATTCCCAAAGGAGTTCAACTCAGCCACAACATTTGACAAGTTCGGAAATGTAGTCTATAGAAGATCAAACACTGGCGTCGAGGTTCAAAAGGGAAGTGTAGACTTGACAATCGACATGTTGTTCCATACAACAGGAATTTGCTGGTCAGAATGCAGGCTCATATAAATGTTGAGGTATGTCACAAAGGTAAACTTATTAAGTATCTCTTTAAATATGTGACAAATGGGCCGGACAGATCATTGGTTATTGCTGAAAACGCTAATGCACCGCAAAATAATCCAGAAATGCAATCTGAGAAGCACAGAGATGAAATCCAACAGTACATTGACTGCCGATCGCTATCAGCTTATGAAGCCATATGGAGGCTTAATGAGTATCCATTTCATGTAAGAGAACCATCAGTGGTGCGTTTGGGAGTTCACTTGGATGGTTAGCAAAAAGTACCTTATAAGAAACAGTCCAATGTGCGAAATGTTTTGGGGAATCCTAATGTCGAAAAGACACACTTGACATAATGGTTTGTTCTTAATCGCAGGGATCCTCAGGCAAGAGTCCTGACATATGCACAGATACCAAATAATTACACCTGGCTTCCTGATTGTAAAGAATGAAACCCTCGCAAAAAAGGATTTGCGATAGGGAGAGTTGCATATGTTCCGCCAGGTTCTGGCGACGTATTTTTCCTCCGAATGGTGCTCACAAAAGTCCGTGGCGCTCTCAGTTATGCTCATCTCAGAACCGTCAATGGAGAACTGTGTCCAGATTTTGAAAAAGCTTGTGAAAAACTGGGTCTGTTATCAGATACTTCAGAATGTATACGTGTTCTGTCCGATATTTCGACTTCCAACATGCCACGGGTGATACGGAGCACTTTCGTGTCAATGCTAATGTTCTGCGAAGTTCCAAGTCCAGCAGCTCTATTCAATTCATCATGGAAATCAATGGCTGAAGATTACGCATATAGGTTAGCCAAAGATCTCAGAGACCAAACCCAGGAACCCACTAATGAACGATTACAGAACTGGATACTTCGTGAATTGCAGGCTATGTTGAGCTCTCATTCAATGACACTTGAGGACTTTAATCTCCCAACCCCATCTGATGGTTCACATGATGATGGAGAGAACCCACTCATTAACGAGCATCTGGCCTTCGATACAGACGAGCAGCGTGCACTAGCAACCTCTATGCTGCATTCATTGAATCCTGAGCAAACTAATGTATATACATTTTTCATCAATTCAGTCCTCAAAAAGATGGGCCGGGCATTCTTCCTATATGGTCACGAAGGTACTGGCAAAACGTACCTCTATAATGTCATTATAGCAAAACTCAGAAGTTTGGGGAAGATAGTTGTACTGGTTGCATCATCGGGCATAGCAGCAACACTACTTCCCAAAGCAACCACTGCACATTCAAGGTTCAAAATTCCTCTGATTCTAGATGCAACATCGACATGTCCTATTAAACACGGAACAGATCTAGCTGACCTGTTAAAAGAAGCATCCTTAATCATTTGGGACGAAGCACCAATGGCCCATCGGCAGGCTTTCGAGGCAGTAGATCGCAGCTTGTGCGACATATTGAATGTTCCACTGAATGGACATCATTATAAACCTTTTGGAGGGAAGACAGTTCTCTTTGGTGGAGATTTTCGCCAAACACTCCCAGTTACAACTGATGCTGGACGTGAACAGACGATTGATGGCTCATTAACTAGGTCCAAGCTATGGAATACTTTTAAAGTGATGTGCCTATCGACAAACAGCCGTCCACTCTGCTGATCAACAACTAATGCATGGATATACGTTTCCAGATTGGGTCCTTGCCTTAGGAGATGGAAGACTTAGAGCAAGATCGTTCAGAGAAGATGGGCCACCAGATTGGATACAAATTTCACCACTGTTCCTAATTGATCCCGGGGATGACTCTGTCCAGTCAATCGCAGATGATATATATGATTCGTTTCCCGACAGTCACAGGGATCCAGCATACCTAACCAGCAGAGTAATAGTGACGACAACGAATGCGACAGTTTCTCGAATCAACGACTATATGCTGCAAAGGGTACCAGGCAATTTTAAAACATATTATAGTTCAGATTCATTGCAGTTATCAACAGAAACAGCGGATTCGTTTGACGAAAGCTATCCAACAGAGTTCATCAACACTCTCACATTCAATGGAGTTCCAGAACACGAGCTTACATTAAAGGTATGCACACCAGTTATGCTCTTGCGCAACTTAAATCCTGCCCTTGGTTTATGCAACGGCACAAGGATCATGATCACAACATTAGGGGACAATTTTATAAAAGGCAACATCATGGGCGGTTCCTACGACACTGACGAAGTCATTATACCAAGAATAGTACTCAATGTAGAGAACTCCAAGTGGCCCTTCATACTCAGGAGAAGGCAGTTCCCGGTACGCTTATGTTACGCGATGACTATAAACAAAAGTCAAGGACAAATGCTTGAAAAAGTTGGGATTTATTTGCCTGAACCCGTATTTAGCCACGGCCAGCTGTATGTGGGAGTTTCAAGAGTAAAATCAGCGAGAGGTTTGAGGATTCTTATACAAAACCCAGCAGAAATACCCTACGATTTTACAAGGAACATAGTCTTCACCGAGGCCTTTGCCGATATTATGAACACCTAAACCATATATCAGGTGAGTTCATTAAATTGAACAAGCTATTCGACACTTTTGCCAGCAAATTTTCCTAACAAAAACTATGTGTTTTGTAGGATTACAGCAATACCCTGATGCAACCATGTGAATCCAAAGAGGTCAATGGCTTGCCTCAATTACATGTCTAGCTCATTTTGTTTGTGGGAATCAGTTTTTCAGGGTTGCATAGATAGTTTGCTATAAGTCAAGAAGTATAATCGGCTAAATAATGGATCAAATAGTTTGTTAATCCTTAGAAATTGCAAACATCTCAGGTCCATTAAAATTTCTGGACATATGCTAACATATTGGATTTACTAAGGCCCAAGCGGCTTCGGCCTTAGCCACTCACCAAAACTGAGGACCCGTTTTTTTACGTTTTCATAATAATGAAATGATTTCGAGCTCAGCCCGAAGATACTTTAGGCCTACAGATAAAAGCCCATTCGTGTCATATAGAAGAATCCGCAAAATAACTGAAGCCAGACTTACCCCGCCGCGGAGCGCGGGCTGAGTACTAGTTACAACTTTATTTGACGTGCTTTCAATCTTTGTAATACCTGATTCCTTTGTTTTGGTTTCTCCCTTATTTGGTCATTAGCTGCTCCTAGAGACGGCCCAGCTTTGTCCCTCCCCTGGTTTGCTCAGTGTTTTTTTAACTATAGTCCTTTTATTGTTTCAACATGTAGAAATTAGTAGAACGGTTAGGGAACTGAAATCCTTAGTGAACAGTAAAATGTATTTAACTTTATATATATTAATATTTCTCAACTCAAAGATAAAAAAACGAGAATTATGACCGGCATATAGATGTAAGCGAGAAAATATTGAGAATGGATTCTTATTTAAAGGTATGGAAAACAACCTTTTGTATGTGACTTTTGATTCTATTAGCAAGGGCATAGTACAATCAATCATAGACCAGCTAAGCAGGTACTTGGAAATGAAGTCATCCACTGTCGCGTAAAACTCAGAAATAAATTAACATAAGTAGAAACTGTATTGTAAGGATGATTGCAAAATTGTATTGAACGGAAAGCTCAACAATAATAAGATATTTTGTACTGATTAAATTTGTAATTTAAATTTGATTCAATCGTTTCATTTGCTAAAACCGTCTATCAATTTTAGTCCATTCAGTATTTCCGATCTGGCCAGCAAAAATTGGTCGAACATTGTATTGGAATAATAATAATATTATTGTAGCTAGAAATGCATGGTTATCATTAGGGGTGGGCATTGGGTGGGTCGGGTGGATTTTGACCATGAAATTCATCCACCCGCGCTTAAACGGATTGATAATTTTTAACCCACCACCCACCCACATTTAGTCTCGGGTTGGGTCGGGCGGATGGTGGATGATGCGGGTGGGTTTGTGGGTTCACCCACATCATAATGTATATAATATAAAGGAGTCAACTTGACTGATAATAGGTGAAGAGAATCATCGAGGGAAACAAGAAGTTGAAATAGGTCGAAAAATGTCGAATTAGTTCTTAAATTGGATAGAATTCTATTATGAAAGAGTTTTATACAAATTGAGACGATTATTAGGTGCAAGGAACTAAGGAAAATAATTCCACAAAGGAAAGAGCGGTGATCTAGCCACAAGAGTTAGAGGAAAAAGTAAAGGGAAGAAGAGGGGATCTCTATTTGGAAGGTTGACTTTGAGGTTCAAACTCCAGGAGCAGTCCGAGTTTATATCTAACGTCTCCACTCTCCTCTCTCTAGCGCCAACGACTTTGATCTTTTTGCTGTTGGGTTCAGCGGGTCACCCGCACACTCACTCACAACCCACCCACCACCCGGCGGATGGCTCCCAACACAACCCGTCACCCACCCACAGACCCACCCACTTAACGAAATTCGGGTTGGTCGGCCCAAACCCGCGGATGATCCGCCCGCATGCCCAGCCCTAGTTATCATCATATTCCCTATCGCATCGGCTGGCGATTGGCTTATAGCATATCCGTTTCCCAAGGCTAGGATCACTTCCAAATCTGTCCGCCCACAATTGTCTCGACACCAAATCTTGTTCCGAAAGAGAAAAAACAAACAAGATTGTCCACAGACCACAGCCTCTCTCGCCCAAGTATATTTATTAGACCCAAAATATCTTGGAATCACTCTAATATTTTCGACAATTTTCATATAGACAAATAAAATTAGTTAACAATCTATAGTTCATAAGAAATAATTCAATCTTCAGAGACAAAATGCATTTTGGATAAAAACAAAAGGATTCTTATAATTACAGGAAAAAGAGTGTGAGGATGTTGTATTATTGTCAAAATTACGTAGCTCCTTCATTTATATCCAAAAACGCATTTTTTAACACTTCTTTTATTTTGTTTTTTGGGTAGCTAGGTGGTCAATTTCATGCATATTTGTTTATGGTGATTCCTTCATGCAATGGAAACGATAGGATGGTACTGGATGTAACCTGTTAGGGTTGTTGTGTAAGTTATAAAAAGGCACTAGTGTGACAGAAGATGTACGTACTGCTCAACCATACTCTTCCTTTATTTTAATTCCCGTGATCAGAAGGTACATTTCTCATCCTCACCCACACAACAAATACAAGAAAACCAAGGTCAATGCAACATGATATATGGCACGCAGTCGGATTTTTTATTATTATTTTTATAGACGGTTGTTCCCTTTGATTTTCAGGGTTTCATTTCATATTAGGAGTTTCATTTCATATTAGGAGCATTTAGAACTCTTGGAGATTTCGGTTCTTCATCCGATTAATTAACTGTGGACTATAATCTATTTTTCTTTTCATAATGGACTATAATCTGTTTTTCCTATCACTAGTACAGTGCGGCGAACATTGATATTGATTTTAGAAAAATAATTACGTAAATAAACTGTAGAAATATATTTTTAAGTCAATTACGATTAGGTGGTTATATCGTAGTTGGAAAGCGAGCGGTCTAGTTAGTTAACTCCTTTGTACCTATAACTTTCCCTTGCTCAAGCTCAATGTTCAATCACTTGTCTACTTGTTCCAACACTTTGTAAATCTAAAAAAATGTTAGATGTTCAATATTCCCTTGAAAATCGTAAGAATTCTCTTAATAACCTTTGAAGATGTTTGCCACCTATCGATCCAAAAAACAATCTCGTAATTCACTGTCAAGCTCCTCTGCAATAAAGACCTAATTAATATGGTACCACAAGGTTTTCCCCTACCTCAAACGACCTCCATGGTTCTTTTCTTTTATATATATATATATGGGGAGTTCTACGGTACCCCGGGTGAAATCCGGGGTACCGCATACCTTAAGTAAGAAAACCCTATCTAGAACTTGAATTGACTGATCTTTCGGACATTATACTATACTCTAACCCATAAAGATCAAAATCTAGGTCTTAATTCACTAAATCCTATACCCCAAGATCAATTTAATTAGAAACAATAATCGACAGTTATGATTCGTCCAAATATAGGCAAAAAAAGTAATGCTCCATCTTAGGGTTTATAGTTTATGATTTAGATAATTAGGACCTAGGGTTCACTCATTAAGGGTTAGGGTATAGCATCATGCCCAAAAATCATGCTAATTTGAGGTCTAGATAGCGTTTTCGTACTCAAGGTATGCAGTACCCCGGATTTCACCTGGGGTACCGTAGAAGGCACCATATATATATATATATATATATATATATATATATATATATATATATGCATTATGTATATTCATTTTTGTTTTTTAAATCTCATTATTATTATTAAGAAAAATATTTTAATTAGCGTTGAATATAATTAAACCATATAAAATAAAAATAACAGCATGTGGGGATTTGATCTTGATTATCCTTTTCCCACCATTTTGATCCAATAATCTTCCACCCCAGTTAGATTTGTGTCCAAACGAGAGATTAGGTCATTGCCCACCTATAGCTACGCCATTATTGTAGTTATAATAATATAATATTGATCACAGTATTATCTTTAGCTTCCTTCTTTTCCCTTCTCTTCTTCCTATAAATAGACCTCTTTCTCCAACAAACTCTCTCATCAAACCCCTAGCCACCCATTCTTATCTACCTAGCTAGCCAGCCAGCCAGGCAGCAAACTCTTCTCTCTCTCTCTCTCTCTCTCGCTCTCTCTCTCTCTCTCTGGCTACCTTGGCCATATATATATACACACAAGTCACAACACAATCAAACACAACCATGTTCACCTTTCCTTTTGGAGAAAGCTGAGTTCATGTGCGTGGTTTGTGTACAAGATCCAAGCTACATCGATTTCCTTTCCACTAATCCATATTTGATTGTACGTTAGGTCAAGGAGGAGGGCAGGTTTGGTTGGTTGGGGAAGTTATCAGTAATTGTTGACAGAAGATAGAGAGCACAGATGATGGGATACCAGCCGAGCTGATGGCATCTCACTCCTTTGTGCTCTCTATGCTTCTGTCATCAACTTCCACCCCCCTCTTCTCCTCGCTGGCTCTCCTATCTATGTATGCATGTGGGGAATCAAATCAAAGGTATTCTCTCTTTTCATCCATATATATATATATATATAAAAGGTTCTCTTTTGATCAACATATGTACAAGGTTCACTCTTGGCTCATAACTAGTTTGGATTTGATGCAACATATATATACACACTCGAATATGGTCATGGCCTTCCACTAGCTAGTTCTTATAGTGTTTATCCTCAACTGGAGGCGATCGATCTATAAGCAAAAGCTAGAGCCTCCAACTGTGTGAAAACCCATATATACATGAGCAGTCAAACCAGTGAGGTTTTCCATGCATGGACAGAACCATGGTTATGTCCAGTAATACCGCAATAATTAAATAAAATCCTAAACTAAGTACTTGTAAATCCCCTCCCCTCAAATACCTAAGTTTGGAGTAGTTCGAGTTAGAGTATCACGAACCACTAATGAGATCGAGTAAGAGAACATCGTTCTGAGGTAGATGGATCAAGTCTTAGGGTCTCGATCCATTACCTGAGGTAGACGATCATA